CAGGCAGGAGTCAGGTGCAATGACAGTGAGGACAGTACGAATATATGCAAAAGGAGTCATAATCACAAATGACTCTGGTCTATGCCAGTTCACCACAATGGCAAGTAGTTTGTTGCTACTTTTACGCCTGATCTTTTGTCTTATGTTACTACTGAAAAAATAGGTTTAGAGTTTAAGCTCTTATTACGATACGTAAGCAATATTCACTATGATAATCATGAGCGTCGTATCAAAATGTTATTTCGTATATTACTGTGGATAGTTATATCTCCGTAAAACAGAGTTGTCCATGCATCTGTAGGTAAAAATGATTTTCTTTGTCAGATACAGTAAGGTTATAGCGTTTCGACTTGGTAATCAGAAACAACAGAAGTATAGGAAAAAAGTTGAAATTACCTAAAGCGCCCTACAGTCACATGTTTGAATGTTTGATAATTGTGTGCGTGAGATGTTTGTATAGCAGAATCAATCAACAGTTCCCTTTTAAAACGTAATAATTTCTTTTACATGAAATTGCTATAGAAATAAAACCTGAAGATGAACGGAAAGAATAATTCAATAATTTGGAGAAAATAGGTGACTGGATCATGGTGATATAGCGTCAGATCTGAAACAGATCGACATCATAGTTCGTCATTTCTTTCTTTGCTTGGAAGCTCTAAACAGAAATACTCAAAATCTTGGTCTTTCCCTGTCACATGCCTGTTCTAGGTTTCCAAGTAAGTTGCCCCTACCTTATTAGCGTTCTCTTTTTTTTAGTGAGAGCAAGATGTTCAAGGCCTACATGTTGATTCAGGTGTCACAGAAACTGCATTCTTCTATTTTTAATTGTTTTTTTTAATGGGCAGCCCACACAGGCTTCCTCAGAACCACCTCAATTGATATCTATTTCTTCAATGAACATTTAAACAGTCTCCTAAGAAACTACATCCATATTTTGCTTCTTTTCTATTTTCACTGGGTTGTGTTGTTGTTTTTTAATAACTTATCCAGACTTCACAGCTGTCTAGCGGTGTTGACCATACATGACCTTTATGTAACTATTCGTTCTGTTGTCACCAAGATGTTTCTTCTTTTATTTTTAGGATTGGACTCTTTCTCATTGACACTGCCTTTCGATAATTCAATTCATCACTTTGCTGTTATGGAATATTGGCACCGGAGGTCATTGTGTATCCTAGATTATTACACTGTTGAACTTTTATCTTTTCACTTTTGCTAATGAGATTACAGATATGATTTACTGCTTTATTTAGATTGGATAACGATAAAAGTAGATTTTTAAAAATTCTCATTATTTGTTTAAAACTTTCATTTTCTAAAGGCATAACTTATAACACTGGACAGCACACATTTTGCAGAATAGGTTTTAAGACTTGTTCTAAGATAATTTGGGATCATTGATTGCAGAAATGGCTTTTGTTTTTGCTTATCAAGCCATGCTTTTGTATAAGAAAAAGCGGTAAGTTTCAATATAATACGAAAAAAATCCGGGAGTTTTTTAAATAGTAAAGCCAATAGTTTGTTCTAAAACTTCGCTTTAGTGAATCAGAGTAATATCTTTACCCTTTAACTATGTGACTTTTCATCCAAAAACAAGTACCTGGTAAGGGATAAATATTATCGAAAAAGGACTTTATCTGATGTCACAATGTATCAGGTTTTTTTACGTGCCTTGGGAGTATCTCACAACGACCTGAATGAGTGAAAACGTTTCATTGACGGTTCAAAGAAAAGTCTAAAATGTGTGCTACGTCATACCGTAATGCTAATTCATTTGGGTTCTTTCTTATTGGTTACTCGGTTCTGTTTAGAGAAAAATGTACGCATATAAAAAGTACTGGGTTAACTTGAATACAGGGACCACAACTAAATGATTTGTGCTGATCTGAAAATGTTCAACTTCAACACATGATTGTTGATGAATGGAAAAAAAAATTACTGTCATGTAAATGTAAGCAGCAGTTAAAGCACTGAAGAAAGGAAAATCAGCAGGAGTGGATAACATCCAAGGAGAATTAATGCAGGCAGGGGGGGGGGGGGGGACATAATAAGCGCTCTAACTGCCATCTGCAACAAGGTCTGGCAGACAGGAAAGTGGCCAACACCATGGACATAATCACTAGTGATAACACTCCCCAAGAAAAGCAACCTGCAATTATGTCAGAACTACCGCACAATCAGTCTAATAAGCCACCCCAGTACGGTTATGTTGAAGATGATGCTGAACAAATTGAAACCACAGGTTGAGAAGATCATTGCCGAAGAGTAGGCAGGCTTTAAAGCAGGGTGCAGCAGAAGAGAACAGATCTTCAACCTCAAGATACTGTGTGAGAGGTACATCCTACACCAACAAAACCTATTTTAAAAAGACCTTCGACAGGGTCTGGCATGCAGCCGTATGGCCAACCATGAGAAAATATAACATCAACGCCAACTTGATCAACGTCATACAACAACTATATGACAAGGCCTCCAGCACAGTTTACCTAAATGGCAGCATGGAGGGATTGGTTCAGGACAACGGTCGGGGTGAGGCAAGACTGTTTGCTCTCTCCCACTCTCTTCAACATATTCCTAGAACGAATCATGACTGACACTCTGGAAGACACAAATGGAACAATCAGTATTGGAGGCAGGACAATCTCTAACTTGCGTTTTGCCGGTGACATCGCTGGATTAGCAGGAGAAGAACAGGAGCTCGCCACACTAGTTCAGCGGCTGGACACAACCTCAGCAGCCTACGGCATGGAGATCAGTGTCGAGAAAACTAAGCTAATGACCAATAACACAAGTGGCATCAACGCGGACATCAAAGTCAGGGGTAAGAAACTTTAGACCGTCAACAGCTTGAAACACCTAGGATCAATCGTCTCAGACGAAGGCTCAAGACCAGAAATTCTCTCCAGAATCACGCAAACAACAGCTGCGCTGTCAAAACTGAAGCTTATTTGGAGGGACAGAAATATCACGAACAACTAAAAAATCAGACTAATGCGCTCACTGGTCATCTCAATATTTTATATACCTGAGAGTCGTGGACACTGACCACAGAATTAGAGAAAAAGATTCCAACCACAGGGATGACATGTTACAGCAGACTCCTTGACATCTCGTACAAAGACCACGTTTCAAATACAGAGGTACGAAAGAGAATCACCAACGCAGTGAGGCAGCATGAAGATCTACTGACCATAGTAAAGAGAAAAAAATTAAAATGGTATGGGCATGTCACATGATCCACAGGACTTGCCAAAACAATCCTTCAAGGAACCGTACAAGAAAAGAGAAAGAGAGGAAGGCAAAGAAGTAGATGGGAGGACAACAAAGACGATGGGTGTCAATCTGAGGAAAGCAGAGGACATAAATAGATGGCGAGAGCTGGTTTTCAGAAGCAGTGGTGCCCCCACGGTTGCCCAAACCACTGGATAGAAGAAGACGAAGAGAAGAATGGGGTTGAGGGGGGGGGGGGGAGAGATTCACGAGCAATAATCAATTCATAGGTCAGCTTCATAAAAAAATATCGATCACAACCATGGAACATACCAAAATTAAGGTACACTTTCTGGTTGCTTTCATTCGTCCGAACTTAGTCCTCAAAATTGGAATATGAACGACTACAATAAATCAAATAACAACAGAATCTTTAACTGATCCATAGAACTATTAGAACCAAATACTCCGCTTTTTGCAGCTTTCAGCTCTCCTAAATCATATACCACTACTGACAAGCAGAATTTCAGCTGTTCAAGGTAGAATTTTTTTGTTGAGGGAATATGTTGGTGGTTGACTAGTCACAAAAATGAGAAATAAAGAAAGGAGGACGGAGTTGGAGTCGGTCGGATGGAGGTTGGGGTTTTTTTTGTTTAGGGGGGGGGGGC